GGGGTTCATGCTCTTGGTACTGGGTAAGCACCGGAGTTGTCAACCACCTTGGTCCCGAGTGCAGTCTGCCATTACTTTCCATTGGTCTTAAACACTAATATGTAGAAATCGTGTTGACACTGAATAAATTTTATTGTTTTTGTTTTATCAAGGCTCTGCCCCAAATAACCACTTCATTCGGAGCAACAACCCGGCAGCCCGCTACCATACGTGCCCAGAATCATCTCGGCACTCAGTCCTTCTTCCCTACAATGGACCACAAGGTATGGCATGTTTGTCTAGAGGTTAAGGAAACGTTTGAAAACACGTGCATTCATAGACAAATGACAAATACCTCTTTTAGAAAATAAGAAAGAAAGTTTATAATAAAACTAACAGGAGATGTCTCAGACTGGGGTCTTGATGTTTTGGTTTTGTGCAAGACACTTTACTCTCACAGAGCCTCTCTTCACCCATGAGTAAAACTAAGTACAGTGTACCGCTTTGAACTCGGGTTTCATAAAGGCCGGGCACCAGGCAAATTGACCGGCTGTGAGGATGATTTTGCCTGCCTGGTTTGACTGTCTAACGGAAAGTTTTTCTTATAAAGAAGCTCAGTTCTGTAAAAGTTGTCCTTCTGCTGAAAACGTTACTGGAATCCCTGTGAACTGTTGAGGCCGCCATGCTGTGTAACCATGCGACGAATTTGTATCCCATTCTGTTGAGGTGCGGTGGCCTCGTGGTTAGTGCGCTCGTCTCCGGATCGAGCGGTCCGGGTTTGAACCCTGGCCGGGGACATTGTGTTGTGTTCTTGAGCAAGACACGTTACTCTCACAGTGCCTCTCTCCACCCAGATGTATAAATGGGTACTGGCGAACTTAATGTTGGGGGTAACCCTGCGATGGACTAGCATCCCATCCAGGGGGCAGTAGAAATACTCCTAGTCGCTTCATGCTACAGAAACCGGGATAAGCTCCGGCCTGATGGGCCACTTGGCTCGCATGCAGACTTAACCTTTACCTTACCTGGGGAGGGTAACAATGTGCCTACCTGCTTCATGCTTTAAAAACTGGGATGACAGTATCCAATGCTGGGTTACTTTGTGCTGTGAATGCCTGTAAGTTGTTTGGGGTAACAAAAGTGGAACCACATGAGTGATGCTGGTTTTATGCCTTAATACGTAATGATCTGAAACCTTTTGCTTTGCGTTGCAGTTGGTACTGAGTACGTCACGGAGATGTTTGCCTTCATGTGCTTTTCAAGCTGTGCGTCAGGTCCTAGCCGACGACCAGTTGAGGTGATTTTCACTTTGGAGCAAAATGGGCAGACCCTGGGTAGAAGAGTGGTGGAGATAAGGGTGTGTGCCTGTCCTGGAAGAGACAGGAAATCTGATGAGAAGGTTGCTTGCGGAGAACCAAGTTCATCCCAAGGAGTGAGGCGCACAAGGAAAGGTTGGTTGAAACATTATATACATGCTTTCACTACATTCTTTGCTAGATATTCTGTTGCTTTGTTTTCATCATGAACTCGTATTTGCAACAATAAAAGATGTTAAATTGCAATGTGCTTGGTGTTAACACTTACATGGATTAGAAACCGTGCCTTACTCTGCAGCTAGAGGCCAAGTCTTGCTTACATGTTCAGTGTACATAGGATGTTTTTGTTGCTGCATGTAAGGGTATTTTCTTCTACATGTACAGGCTTGCTCAAAGATATCTCTCTTATTTTCTGTAGGATCTGGGAATAAGGGACCCTCATCTAAAAGAAGACGCACTAGCTCAAGATCCCAGGACGAGGAGTTTATTATCACTGTAAGTAGAGCAGTGAAGATGTTCACAAAAGTAATTTTTTATGCTGTTGGGGTGCACGGATGGCACAGTGGTGAGAGCGCTTGCCTCCCACCAATGTGGCCTGGGTTTGATGCCGGTTAAGTGCCATTTGTGGGTTGAGTTTGTTGTTGGTTCTCGCCTTGCTCTGAGGGTTTTTCTCAGGGTTCTCCGATTTTCTTCCTCTGCAATAACCAACACTCCAAATTCTAATTCGGCCAGGATAGAGGACCTGCATTAAAACTGGCGGAAGCTTCCTCTCCTAATATTGTAATGTGTTTATTTATTTAATATTTAATTTGTGCTCAAGTTGCACTGGCTGGTGTCATTGTATTGTTTTCTTGGGCAAGATACTTGACTCTCTCAGTGCCTCTCTTCACTAAGGATTGTTAGGGTAACCTCAACAAAATGTAATGGTGAAAGCTTACAAATCCAGTGAAAGCCGATTTAAGGTCTGTTGCATCGCATCACATCAATTGTAATTTATTTCTCTTTGCAGACCAAAAACCGCCATGTGTATGATATTTTGCTGGAGATGAAAGATTCCCTGGAGGGAAAATTTGAAAGCCTCAACATTCAGAGTCCTGAACATTCTCTGTAAGTAAAGTAAGGTAACGTTTGTCTTGTAAAATTCAACAATGTACTCTCTCGATACATGTACATGTAAGCTTAGTCGGGGAAATTGAAAATATTGACAAGTTTTCAGCGTCTCTTTCTTTGTATCGGTTCAAAGCATTATAACGAAACAATTGAGTTACATAACAAACTAAGATCTTTTTAAATTCTCAAACTTGACCTTTTTAAACATTTACGTCGATCGCTTTAAAGAGAACTTTGTAAATAAGAATGTAAAACAGTTTTATTCGTGAATATTTCGAGCTAGTGGCAGCCTTGTTTCAACGAAACATTTTCAGAGATTGCCGTCGATTTTAAACGTACGGTTTTTGGATATTTAAACCTCGGCATTTGAACTCCGTGATCTTGAATTCCTCGCTATCAAGAACTCAGATCATTTAATCTCACGAATGAGTTTTTTCAGTCATATACTATCGGCTGTCTTTAATCTCGCTATCTCGGTGCATTTGTCGTCTTTATCGTTGTCCCTGAGAGCACAATATAGCGGGTTTAACTGCATATATCGTACAAAGTGCAAAGTGCCGTTTTGTATGCACGGGTTTAGTAAAGACGTAGATTTTTTCCAAACCGTTAGGGGGGCGTTTCGAGTTTCTAAATTTTACCGAGCGTTCCGAAGGTTTTCAAGCGTTTCCATGCAGGTTAAAAAAATTCATTTTTATAATTTTAGTGAGTTAAAAAACATTTGAAATGACTTGTGTTCAGGGAAAGAGATATTTGAACGACGTTGTTTAGTGGGCTTTTAAGAAAAGGAAAGTGGAAAAAGTGGCTGAAAAACCCTCTTAAAAGAAGCTTAGAAATTCTGCCACAGTTGGAATTTCAGTTTTAGCACTTGAAATTACATGTCGACACTTTCAGCTAAAGACATGTTATAGCGAAACAAAGAAAACTGAAACCGGGGAAATCTTTCTGCCGCTTGGAGAGAAATTTCAACTATTTTGTTTTTTTGCTTTTGCGACGTTCGCATAATAAGAGAATGGTAGCTTTATCAAAGATGAAATTCGAGTTTAAAATTTCACAGCGCCCGAGGGTAAAGTACAATTACTAAGACAGTCAGTTCTGGCGCATTGTCAGGGCATTGTGAGAGCATTCCGTTGTGCTCGTAAACAAGGGTCGTACTTTAATCTTCGTATTTAACAGCTCTCCTCGTGTACATTCTTGACCTTTCATAAGAACAATAGTTTACAAGCTAGTCTTTGTTGTAAAGGTCAAGTGCTAAAGAACGTGCTAGGCGATTCGACATCCAAACAACAACATGTGTTCTGACAGGTGATTCAATCATTCGTTTTGGAAGTTAATTATAGAAAAATAACATCGGCTGTTTTCCTGTGGCAAAAAGTGGTTTTACCTTGGGTAATTCACGTGCTAAGCTTCGGCGTGTTATAGTTCAAGTGTCACAAAATGTCAAGATTTACGAGACGTGAATTATTCTTTGTGTGTGTGTCTAAACACGCCTTGACAACTTTTTATTACGGCTGTGAAGTTTTACGGGTTAAAAGAATTGTTCAAGGTAGCTAAAACTCGATTCTGTTTCTTCCATCAGGGTCTTGAGCACGTCGGAAGATGAGGCCGACCAGCCTTCTACATCTGGAAGTCCAGGAGCAGTTTTCAAGAGAGTGGGGCTATCCTCGATGTAGACAGGCCGAAGATATTGGGAACCATTGGGAGCTATGAAGTGTGCGTAACCAGGCGTTCTAAGATGGTAGCGCAGTGTCCAACCGTTTGTGTGTGGAGTGTTTTATTCGCGTAATTATCCGTTTAGTACAAGATACATGTTTAGTACAAGGTCGCATGCGACCTTGAAAAGGTGATCTATCAGTCTCTGGTTTTACAGAGCAGCTTCCCGAAAAATTTGCTCCACGCTGTGTGTGGAAAAAAAAGCAATTATCAGCAGTGATTTTAGCTGTGTTAATTTATCGCAATGCTTTGTTATACGAAGCCATAATTTCCACTCGCTATATTGCGCAGTTATTGTGCGTGCTATCTCATCTTAATTACGCAACCACGGTTTGGTTTTACAGATTGTGGTGTATTCATTGAATCATAACCTAAATCATAAAGTGAGTTTTTTTATGCGAGTTTATAAAATGAAGCATTTCCGAACATTACTGTAAGTTGTATGTTTTTATGCCGGTTTTGTAACATGGTTTCAATGTTTAATTTGTAATGCTTTTGCGCTTTTGTGTTGTACATAGGATAAAAAATGCCTTGCACTTCTCCAGCCTAAGATGGCGACCTAAACTAGTTGAAAGGAATTACAGCTTTATGTGAGTTTCGCCGTGTTATTATGCGAAGCAAAAAGACGATTTCGTTTCTCACACAAAATACAGAGGTACCTTAGCCTGGATTGACTAAACTGGGTTCTGCCCCCATTTCTTCGTAGTTAAGCTTAGTTCACGCAATCAGTACGCCATTTTGAGTACTTTAGTTGTTTGCCTCTGAAAGGTCGCCGTCTTGAGGAGAAACATGTTTTGCTTTAGCTATTTGTACGTTTGAGATTATTTTGTAAGCAGGAAGGTGTTGTGCAGAGCTGGCTCTTTTTAATAAGAAACCAATTTCGTTTTTCATGCTTTTCAGTTTTAGAACCGTAAGTTTCTAAATCTCAATTCTTTTACACTCAAAGTCGAAACAAGTCAGTTGTTAATCAGATTCCTTCCTTTTACGTCTGCGAGGGAAACCCTAAAGCTATTGAGCAGTACTTTCATGTGGTACTATTTATAATGCTGTACACGTTGGTTCTAACTTTTAAGTACAGTCTGAACGAAACCATAGTGTGTGACCATTCAAATGAAAGCTATTGAGCAGTACTTCCATACTGTTTATTATGCTTGAATATTTTTTTTTTCAGTTTCGACTCTGAAAATTAAAAGGATTAAAACCATTAGCCAGTGATAGGAAATGCTATGTTTTTATTGATCCTACAACGAACCCTGAGAGAACAAGAGAAAAGCACGTCTGTTTCAATTTTTCGTTCATGAAACAAAATAGCATCCCGTCTGTTTGTTGTACATCGCACGCGTTTGTTGATACACGATGCAAACAAAGTTCATGTAACGTCGAGCATTTCATGTTCAATTCACGTTGTCTCAGTGTTTTTTTCCTCGAGGGTTTCGTAGGATAACCTCGCATTGTATATTTTCCCCTAGCGCGGTCTAACGTTCTAGTGGGTGCGAAATTATTTGAAATCAAAGAAACTTGCTTATATAAATCATTTTCAGAGCATGCAAGGGCCTGTTTCCTTCTGCTGTATTATTTCATAGAGAAAATTCATTAAAATCAAAAGAGAAAAGATACTGCTTGGTTTGTTGTTGTTCCTTGGAGTGATCGTTTGTTGCTTTGTTCAAATGGCGAAGTTATTTATCTATGAACAGCGTTTTTTGCGGGCGCTCTATTGGTGTTCGCAAACTGCAGGAAAGTTTTGCATAAGATGGGAACTCATTTCTGAAAAGATGAGAAGTTTCATTGCTTTGGTCACCAATGTGGCAAACCGACGTGAAAACGCTAAATTTTCCGTTTTGTGTGGGTTCATCGCTCGAGGAAAACGTGCCTCTAACAAGATAACGGTCTTCCAACCAGATACAAGGAACGCAGAGAATGCCACGAAAATATAACGCTTCCACTCTTTCCATACGGCTAAATGCAGTTCTTAATTTTACGTCTAAAGCCGCCAATTTATGCCATGTCAAAACGTTTACTGACAGACCGAATTTCTGGCCTTGAAATTTGCGACGTTTCTTTCACACACAGACACTGCATTTTTTTTAGCGCTTTTCACTTTCTGCATAATCCCCTGGGGAATGTACCGCGCTGTGAACTGAACTCAATTCAGCCAGAATATTTTATTTCAAATACCCCATTCGTGGGACATTAATTATCCACTGATATCCTCTGAATCACTCGAAATTGGTCTCTGTGCGTAAACTACGGGAGTGATAACCCGTTACATGTATCAATCTTCGAGAAACTTTATTGTAAAGTTTCTTAGCGCATATTGCAATGGCGAAAATGAACGAAGCCCATTTAGAAGAGAGGTTTGTTTAAAAAAGAGCTTTGGCGAAAGTTTTTTTTTTTTAGAATAACGTGCCTAAGGCTTCAGAAGAGGTGGAGGCTAGAAAAGGCTGTTAAAAACAATTTGTCCAGAGTTTGCAAGTTAAAAGCTATGCTCAATAAGAGTTTTACGTTTTTTTTTTTGTTTTTAAATCTCGAAGCATCGGATGTTCCCATCAGCTGACACTTATACTGCTTTGTGATTAATCCTTGTTAAGGATTAGTTATAGACAATCATGATTATATGACATTTTTGGCGCATTTCCATGCCTGTTTCTCTTTTTAGAAACACAGGACAACAAACGACAACTGTTTATGCCATTGTGATAGCAGGGGACGGATTTAATTTGACTGGCGATTCTGTTTCATAGAAACAAAACAAAATAGTTCAAAACAAAAGAAAAAAAAAACACTGAACAGAAAAAAAAAACAAAAAACAATAGAGCATCAGTTACAAGGGAATGAAATGTTAACTCTTTAAGGGTTTCTGTCCTAACACGTCTTCCTCAGCTTTGCTGGTCTCTTCTTGCTGACAGAACTAAGTACGATTTCGCTTCCTTCCGGGAGATAGTCTGTACAGAGAAACCTTGTGTTGCTCAGTTCCCTGTTCAAAACCGACGGGGCTGCTCTTTGTGCTATTTTACGCGGTGCGAAGGAAACTTACCTTACTGAGTTAAAATCTTCTCAGTAATAAACCGACTAGACAAATTTGAGTGAGAAAAGCAAGTACTTTCAGCACTTTGCTAACATCTATTCATAGCATCGCAGAGCGGCCGGTTTTAATAATTGTGTTAGATAAGCAAAAACGCAAACCATACGTGATCAAACATGGTTTTGAAAAGCTTTGAAAGCCTCGTGAATTGATATCAAGTCAAATCTGCGCTTTTACGCAACCTTCGCCTTGCAGATCTTAATGCAGTTGACAACACTTCTTTTTCACTGTCGTTCGTCTCGTTTCACCTAATGCCCAGACTTCCCTCGTTTCGTTGCCAGATCTGATTGTGAAAAGCCTGCACGTGAACGAAGGCTCACGAGGTGACGTCACAGCTTAAGATCCTTAACAAACGAGCCCATGTCAAAAAGGGTCCAAAAAGACAGAGATAGCCCGTGTCTCCTCGAATTGTTCTTTATTTCATTTCATAATTTAGATAGGACCCTGCGCGCGTTCTGATTGGTCAAAAACCAATGTTTTATCAGAGTATAAAACATAGAAAAAGCGTGTTTTACTGTTCTTCGCGACATTGCTTCTATATCATAAAGCAAATGTAGAAGCCTAAGTCGTGTATTACACTGTGATAAAACACTCCGGACATTTGAGAACAAGCGAGTTTTCTACATTTCACTGGTGTTCTCAAATGCCTGTAGTGTTTTATCAGTGTAATACACGGCTTAGGCTTCTTCATTTGTTAATTGTATATCTTTTTGATCTGAGAAATGAGAAGTACATCATCGATGAATTCGTCTTCTTATCACTGTCAGAAGGGAAAAAGCACTAAGCCAATCAGCGCCTTTGAAATAACGCGGTAACACGGCGCGAATTAAAAGCCCGGGCAATTCGAGCGATTGTTTTGTTCCGTTCGTCCCCATGGCCCCTTCCGCCCCATTGAACGCGACTCCAGAAGAACGTTTTAAAACAATTTTGAGGTTTCATCTTACTTGCTTGTAGCCTCACCATGAAGCATGTGTTGTTCTCTCATAATGTTTTAGCGCTATTAATTTGATCTTCGTAAATTGTTGAAAAATCAAGCGAAGGAAGTTAGTTCTCTTATCGCCCACCCGTGTGTACAGTACAAAATACTACTTTACAGTTATTTGTATGTGGTAAACTCAGTGGCTAGCGGGTAATATGAACCAACCTCATGCTGTGATTAGCTACCGCTTCATCTTGCAAGACCCTTGCAAGCTCGGGATTGTGGGAAATAGAGTCGTCAACGACTTTTTAATTAGTCAACTAGTCTTAGGAAATTGACTATAAATTTACACGATAACCCTAGGATAGGTCGTACTGGATGATTCAGGACGGTGTCAGGTGAATACTTGTAAATGTTGGACCGGCAGTACAATAATCTGATTGGTTGATTTTGGTTACTAAACCCCCTTGATCTAACTTAGTTGTGTAATAAGGCATTAATAATTTATCAAGTTTAAACAAAGGAAATCATGACCGTGACGGTCTTTGCATTGATTTTAACGACTTCATTTGTCCGTTTTCTCCTTAGTTATTTTCATCTCTCTTCTTGTTGTTGGGATATGTGCTCAAACGCGGTCTTTCGTGTTTTACATAATTCATCAAGAAGACTGCAAAGTTCTTTAAGACAAGTAACTGATGCTTTTCTAAGATCGATTATTATAAAATTTATTAAACATTAAATTACGTCTCCTCGGCATTAACCGCTAAGACGAGTTTTACAATAGATTCTGGCATTAGTACAAGTGTTCCATATCCAGAAAGGGCCTTTTTTACGGAGAGCCTTTCTCCAGACTGATATCAATTTTACAACGCTAAATGACATTTTTACACAGTATGACATCAATAGCACTATGGTAACTTTAGTAAAAACTCGCATGTAAGAACCTACCTTTTAAGTCTAGCAAAATAGCTTCTTGTATTTTGGGGTAGTTATTGACAATTTAGGCTAAGTAGGTTCTTAATCAGGTTTTTCATTTCTATGACGGAGATTACAGTTGTTGATTACCAGAAAAATAAATAAACTTGGGATTTGTCCTTGAATACATGGTATTTATTCACAGCTGTATTATGTATTTTCTTGTAAATAAATTTGCAATCTCAAAGTCACACTCCTGGGTTAAAATGCTTATCATAATTTAACTGTAACCCACATATAAGAACCTGCTTGATCTTGCTTGGCTAAACAGGTCTTTACATTTTGGGTATTAAATGGCAAATTTCTGCCAGCAGGTTCTTAAACCACTAGGTTCTTACAAGCTAAGTGAAGTTTTCATATATGTTATTTTGAAGATATGTAATGTTTTACTAAGAATGTTTTTCTGGACTGATGGCAAATTTCTAAGCCTACATGATATCTTTCCACGTTATGATATCAATATAGCTTATACTAGTGTTTTAACTTATTGGAAACATCTATTCTGCTCCGGTCGAGTCTAAGGACATGTATCTCATCATCGAATTCATGGTACTATTGGACTGAGTTCTCCTGAAAATTTGAAACAGAAATAAATGAATTTATGAGTTAATGACTAAAGAACAAAATGAGTGTACGAAAGTACGATTAGAAGAATGAGTGGAATGGGTGAATGAATAAGTGACCGACCGACCGACAGACCGAACGAACGAACGAACGAACGAACGAACGAACGAACAAACGAAGAACATACGAACGAACGAACGAACGAAGGAGCAAAAGAACGAACGAACGAATGAACAAACAAACGAACGAAACAACAATGATTAGATGAATGAGTGAATCAATGGACGAACGAACGAACGAAAAAATTGAGAAATGAGAGAATGGTTGAATGACATGAACGAACGAAAGAACGAATAAATGAACGAACGAACGAACGAACGAACGAACGAACGAACGAACGAACGAACGAATGAAGGAGTAAATGAGTGAAGGAAGAAAGGAACGAAGGAAGGAAGGAAGGGAGAAAGAAAGAAAGGACGGGAGAAAAAGAAACAAAAATAATTGTCAAGGGTTCAATTTTGAAAAATAGTTGCTGCTGAGTTGTGAGCGAGGGATGAATTTAGCAAAAGAAGATTTCTTATTATTTTAAAATGTCATGCTCACCCATGTTGACTTATCTCATCTCTTGGTAGAGGCGTTGCAATGGCGTCTGCTGGCGCTGTTTGTGTTCCAGGGTGATATTCCTTCTGTTGAACTGATCTACCAGCATTTACTGGTTCATGCAGAAACTTTTGGATCTTTGTTTCAGGAAGGTGTCCTAAATCCTGAAGGAAAACATTACAGGTAAGTGAATTTGGAGAAACTAATACAAAATTAATCAACTAGAAAGAAGATTTCACTTGGGGACGGGGAGCTTACGGGAAGCTTATCGTTCGGCCGCGTTGTTCAAAGTCCGGTTAAGCTAACCCAGGATTAGCGAGAAATTTGATTTCAGTTTTGTATTTTTTTTCGGTGACATTTTCTGTTCATATTCTTTGTCCTTCATTTTAAAGCTTGAATAACCTCAAACTACACAAACCATAAGAAGTGAACAACATATTTATACAAGAAACATTTATACTTCGGTTAACTTTTAATCCTGGGTTGGCGTTAACCGGTTTTTTAACAATCCGGCCCTGAGGCCCGTTTCTCGAAGGTCCCGAAAAGTTTTCGCACCCAGAAAGCCGTAGCTGAAAATCTCAAACCTTATTACAGAACTGTTTTATTTACCTATTCTTAGTATGACCAGAGGTTCCCTTCATACAAGAATTTTCAGGTGTATACACTTTTCTGTTTTTAGATACAGATTTTAAAAACTAAAAATGGTCTTGCAGGCCCGAAAAGTTTCGGGGCTTTCGAGAAACTGGCCCCGGGGCTGAAAGTAACTAAACCTGGTGACGTGACAAATAAATGCACTGTAGATTCCACAAACCTTAAGTCTTTCGTATGTGTCTCCAATGATACCAATGAACAAACTCAAAACAACATAAATGAAGAGTCCGATAAAGATGTAGAAATAAATCTTGCTGAAGATCCACACACCCAACGGACTTTTGGCGTACGATATTTTAGCGTACGAGTTGAACAGATCATCTCCATTAATCATAGAGTACAAACATTCTGCAGTGATAGTCAGTGTCTTGAACTAAAAACAAACAAGAGAAATGAGTGACGAAATTTGAAAGTATGTTCACAAGAACTTTATAAGGCCCCATCTACACTACGCAGGAGAAATTTGAAAATGGCGTTTTCACTCTGAAAACTGAAAACGCATCAAATGTTTTCCGTCCACACTACACCGGAGGAATTTGAAAACGGCGTTTTCACTCTGAAAACGCATCAAAAGTTTTCCGTGCACGCCACGCCGAAGAAATTTGAAAACGCAACAATTTGGCACCGGGCAGGGAAATCACACGATTACCGTAATATCGGAAAGCTCCATTTCCAAAATGTCTTCCGTCAACACTAAGACGCAAAGCCGGCGTTTTCAAGTTCCCCTGGTTTGAGGAGCGTTTTCCAAAAGCTCCTTTTTCCTTGACGGATTAGTGTAGACGGTAGGCCTAACTGTAGAAATAAAGCTACGTTTTCAAATTTCTCCGGCGTATTGTAGACGGGGCTTTAATCAAAGGGTTTGCATATCATATGCAAGTTAGATTCCAGGAAAACCATTAAACTTAATATTCAACTTAAAAAAATTACTCCTGCAACATCCCTGCTGAAATCAAAATTTAAATGACAACTCAAACATTTGCAGGACAGTGGAAACGCTAGTTTTACTTAGATATATGAATGGAAATTTATGTTGCTTCTTTTGTACGAGGTGAGCTACAGAACTTGATTTTACGACTTAAGGCCTGGAAATAATGTGTAACAAGTGACGTAAAAAAAAGTAAAAGAATGCAACAAGGAAAATAAAAGAGAGGAGGAAAAACAAACTGCACTCCTTCGAACTTTTATATCGTCTACTTTGGAGTTGCGGCAAAAATGGTGAAACTTTCATTAACACTGTTGTCATAAATCCAGACAGATATAGTCTAAACTAATTATCGATCACAGGACTACGGAAGCATTATTTTGCTACATTTGCTCTTTATAGTCTACAGGAACAATGTTCTTTTAACTGACAAAACTGTTACCATGGAACTGCACCTGAGCAGTAGATTTAATAGCGCATTGCAAGTTGGCTAGTTCAATTCAAGCCGGTGTCTTAAGTGGGTCGAGTTTGTTGTTAGCTCTCGTATTACTCCGAGGGTTTTTCTCCGGGTTCTCCGGTTTTCCTCCCTCCGGATCCACAAAACCAACTTCTCCAAATTCCAATTCAACCAGGATAGAGGTTGACTCGCATGAAAATCGGCTAAGGCTGTTGTGGCTTGCTCTCTAAATATTAATTCTCATTTTAAGGTCAACTTAAATTTGAATTTTACCTTGGGATGGAATGGACCCAGAACAATGTAGCCGCAAAACATAAAGCCAATAAACAGAAGAGCGGCACAGACACAGAACCTGGCTACACTTGGAGTAGCAGCCTTCAGTGTCACTAAAAGAACCTGCAAGGAATTGAGGAAAGTGATGATTAACTTACTACAGGTCTTTTAAAGTTGTGTGTGAACAAAGGGGGTTGACAATACTACAGGACTTTGTTGTTTTCTTGGCTTACTGTCAAATGAGGTTAGCTTCTTTAACTGAGCTCTTCTGCAACTGAACTACCCCAGGTTTATTTCACTGGCCTTCTCACAATTGAATTCTTTGCTAACATTCAAAGCGCCTGGGAGTGAACAGATGTCACTTTTCATACTCTCTGATCAGCATGGACTGCAAAACTTAGATACCCTCCTCTTTCTGCTTGGCGAGAAGGGAATCTCATCTTTTTCATGACCTCTTCTAGCTACTCTACTTGCTATTTGTCTGATTCTTTAGAAAAGTACAGGTACCATTCAACCCCTATTAAAAGGCCACCCTCGCAGAAATGAACAGTGGCTGCTTAAAGGGGCTGGCTGTTTGATAGATGTAAAAACAAGAGGGAGGCCCTCATCTGGACTTTGATTACTGGCCGTCTTTTTGGGGTGGCCATTTAATAGGTTGTTGCTTTATAGAGGTTGGACTGCATGGAAAAACCAGCTGCCTACTCTGATCCAAAAATATGGCATCCACTTCAAAACCTCGAGACAACCCCGACCTCTGAGGAGCTACACGTACGTAATTTATCAGAAAGGTTGAATCACAGACATCTTTTTAGCGAGGTAAAATTGAGCGTGGTAAGAAAGATGGCTGTCTTAATACTCTACTTGTTTACAACAAATTAACTTATTCATATACTGTTGGCAATACATGTAACTGGAGACATTACATTGTATTTCTTGGAGTAGCCCAAGAATCGAAGAAGGCCAATCCACACTAAAAGAACTGCTGTGCCAAGAAAAAGACTGCTGACGTTGTAGAAATCACTATCCTGAAAGAAAGAAGTAGTTAAGAAATGAGATAGAGCTCCTGAAAATAAGTTAATATGCTGTTGACACAAAACGTTGTGCAACCTCACACAAAGTTGTGCAATCTCAAACAAAAAAGTAAGAGTTTAAGTTGATAACTCAGATTGAACTCAAATCTGTGTAAGATCTAAAAAAATAACGGCTAAAGTGTGAGACTCCACATTGCACATGTGAATTTGACTTCTGGTTGCAATCATTATGTTGTGTTCTAGGCTAGCAATCGTGGGGCTTTTTTTTTGCACACCAGACAGTAAAAATACGTATGGCAAAGCCTTATGTAAACCTGGTAAAAGCGGTAAAATACTAGTAGGATGGAAGGGTGGGGACTACATGAGATAAAGAACTTTGCAAGCCATCCAGTGCTAGAGGAGCAGGACACTGAGACCTTCCTAGTTGCTTTACGCTTAAGAAACTGGACTTAGGTAATGGACTCTGAGCCACCTGGCTTGAAAAAGGCTGTAGTTATTGGTCTCATCACACTGATTCTGACTAATTCTCCTCAATAATCACTACATGTTTCTTACAATGTCAGTTCAAGAATTTGGTGGCATATTAATGAAGCAGTTAATCCACAATGTATTCATTTTGTATTGAGAAACTATCTGTCGATCAATTTTGATTGGGGTTAATCCTCTTCTTGAACTCACCTTTTGATCAATGACCATTTTGTATACTGAACCCACAATAGTAAGAGCGTCACTTAACATGATGACGAAAAACCATAAGCTGACAAACTCCTGGTAATCAGAGAATGTAAAATCCTCGCTAAGTTCATTCTTGAAAAATGTGGCAGTTTCCTTTAGGAAAAATAAATGGTGACATTCATTAGATTATAATGTCTGATTTAATTTTCAGGTCCCGCTCTGACTACTAAGCTACAATCTTGGACAGTTTAAATGAAAAATTAAGCCCATCCCTCCCCCTATTTCAATGATGGAGAAAATGGCGCCTTTTGGGTTTAGTGCCAGTTTGTAATTGATTATTTTATTCTGACCAAGATTGAGGAATTGTTTCTTGACAGATCCTTAAAAATATTTAAAAATATCAATGACCTAAATAAAAGTAATCCTCAAATTGGCTTTTAATTTATTAAAACTCATATGACTGTGTTACCTTAGCCAACTTCAGCGATTTGTAAATGGATCTTGTGCATAGCAGCAGAGAAACAGAACAGATGAAGATAACAATAGCGTCAAACACTACTAAGGCTACAGTTATGATGTGTGTCCCTACAAAAAAATTGAAAATAGAAAATTTACATTTCACTGACAATATTGTAGTCAAGCGAATATTAAAGTCAATAGCCGATGTTTCAGCATCATCCTGACGCCATTCTCAAGGCAAAGTGAATAAATTAATGTGAAGATTTTACAGTCTCTACAAATTAGCACAAAAACAAAGGCTCACAAGTTCTTCAAGAGAAAACCTTCGCACGAATCGAGTCCATTTGCATGTTTAGAGATGGTTTAAGTTTTTGGATGACACCAATGAAAATGTCAGCTATTAACTTTTAATTGATATTCGCTTGTTTATGTTTTAAAAAGTCATTGTTGATCAATATTGTAGTCTTTCAAAATCAAAATTTAGAATGCTGACTGAACATGAAAAGCTGGAAATACCACTCACTATAACCAAATATGAACCTTGCCACCTTGCTTCTTTGCCTGAAGTCTTAGCAAAGAAGGATTACACATACGGTACCTGCACCGCATTTCACTGAACAATAGCTGCCCCTCGATTAAATGCCCCCTTAAACAATTGCCCCCATTTGACGGGACTATTTCACTGGCCTTCTCATAATTGAATTCTTAGGTGAAATTCAACACGCCTGTCACTTTTCACATTCTTACCACCCTCTCCCCCCTTCCCTGCACACAAGAGACGTGAATTTTCCACATGGGGAACTCCTGTATAAAAAGGACAGGGGGGTGCTCATCGGAAATTTTGAAAAAAACCCCTAAGGGATACCAAGATCCTGTTTTGTGGGCGTGGCTTGAAATTCTTTTCACCTGTAAGACATACCAATTCTAAAACAACACATTATCTCTTGTCATATATTTTTCGGTTAAATACCCTAAAAGATACTGCAAAAGGCCCTGGTGTGAACCTTTTGAAGCTGAATACCCCAAGAGGTACCAAAACCGCTTATTTAANCAATAAACAGAAGAGCGGCACAGACACAGAACCTGGCTACACTTGGAGTAGCAGCCTTCAGTGTCACTAAAAGAACCTGCAAGGAATTGAGGAAAGTGATGATTAACTTACTACAGGTCTTTTAAAGTTGTGTGTGAACAAAGGGGGTTGACAATACTACAGGACTTTGTTGTTTTCTTGGCTTACTGTCAAATGAGGTTAGCTTCTTTAACTGAGCTCTTCTGCAACTGAACTACCCCAGGTTTATTTCACTGGCCTTCTCACAATTGAATTCTTTGCTAACATTCAAAGCGCCTGGGAGTGAACAGATGTCACTTTTCATACTCTCTGATCAGCATGGACTGCAAAACTTAGATACCCTCCTCTTTCTGCTTGGCGAGAAGGGAATCTCATCTTTTTCATGACCTCTTCTAGCTACTCTACTTGCTATTTGTCTGATTCTTTAGAAAAGTACAGGTACCATTCAACCCCTATTAAAAGGCCACCCTCGCAGAAATGAACAGTGGCTGCTTAAAGGGGCTGGCTGTTTGATAGATGTAAAAACAAGAGGGAGGCCCTCATCTGGACTTTGATTACTGGCCGTCTTTTTGGGGTGGCCATTTAATAGGTTGTTGCTTTATAGAGGTTGGACTGCATGGAAAAACCAGCTGCCTACTCTGATCCAAAAATATGGCATCCACTTCAAAACCTCGAGACAACCCCGACCTCTGAGGAGCTACACGTACGTAATTTATCAGAAAGGTTGAATCACAGACATCTTTTTAGCGAGGTAAAATTGAGCGTGGTAAGAAAGATGGCTGTCTTAATACTCTACTTGTTTACAACAAATTAACTTATTCATATACTGTTGGCAATACATGTAACTGGAGACATTACATTGTATTTCTTGGAGTAGCCCAAGAATCGAAGAAGGCCAATCCACACTAAAAGAACTGCTGTGCCAAGAAAAAGACTGCTGACGTTGTAGAAATCACTATCCTGAAAGAAAGAAGTAGTTAAGAAATGAGATAGAGCTCCTGAAAATAAGTTAATATGCTGTTGACACAAAACGTTGTGCAACCTCACACAAAGTTGTGCAATCTCAAACAAAAAAGTAAGAGTTTAAGTTGATAACTCAGATTGAACTCAAATCTGTGTAAGATCTAAAAAAATAACGGCTAAAGTGTGAGACTCCACATTGCACATGTGAATTTGACTTCTGGTTGCAATCATTATGTTGTGTTCTAGGCTAGCAATCGTGGGGCTTTTTTTTTGCACACCAGACAGTAAAAATACGTATGGCAAAGCCTTATGTAAACCTGGTAAAAGCGGTAAAATACTAGTAGGATGGAAGGGTGGGGACTACATGAGATAAAGAACTTTGCAAGCCATCCAGTGCTAGAGGAGCAGGACACTGAGACCTTCCTAGTTGCTTTACGCTTAAGAAACTGGACTTAGGTAATGGACTCTGAGCCACCTGGCTTGAAAAAGGCTGTAGTTATTGGTCTCATCACACTGATTCTGACTAATTCTCCTCAATAATCACTACATGTTTCTTACAATGTCAGTTCAAGAATTTGGTGGCATATTAATGAAGCAGTTAATCCACAATGTATTCATTTTGTATTGAGAAACTATCTGTCGATCAATTTTGATTGGGGTTAATCCTCTTCTTGAACTCACCTTTTGATCAATGACCATTTTGTATACTGAACCCACAATAGTAAGAGCGTCACTTAACATGATGACGAAAAACCATAAGCTGACAAACTCCTGGTAATCAGAGAATGTAAAATCCTCGCTAAGTTCATTCTTGAAAAATGTGGCAGTTTCCTTTAGGAAAAATAAATGGTGACATTCATTAGATTATAATGTCTGATTTAATTTTCAGGTCCCGCTCTGACTACTAAGCTACAATCTTGGACAGTTTAAATGAAAAATTAAGCCCATCCCTCCCCCTATTTCAATGATGGAGAAAATGGCGCCTTTTGGGTTTAGTGCCAGTTTGTAATTGATTATTTTATTCTGACCAAGATTGAGGAATTGTTTCTTGACAGATCCTTAAAAATATTTAAAAATATCAATGACCTAAATAAAAGTAATCCTCAAATTGGCTTTTAATTTATTAAAACTCATATGACTGTGTTACCTTAGCCAACTTCAGCGATTTGTAAATGGATCTTGTGCATAGCAGCAGAGAAACAGAACAGATGAAGATAACAATAGCGTCAAACACTACTAAGGCTACAGTTATGATGTGTGTCCCTACAAAAAAATTGAAAATAGAAAATTTACATTTCACTGACAATATTGTAGTCAAGCGAATATTAAAGTCAATAGCCGATGTTTCAGCATCATCCTGACGCCATTCTCAAGGCAAAGTGAATAAATTAATGTGAAGATTTTACAGTCTCTACAAATTAGCACAAAAACAAAGGCTCACAAGTTCTTCAAGAGAAAACCTTCGCACGAATCGAGTCCATTTGCATGTTTAGAGATGGTTTAAGTTTTTGGATGACACCAATGAAAATGTCAGCTATTAACTTTTAATTGATATTCGCTTGTTTATGTTTTAAAAAGTCATTGTTGATCAATATTGTAGTCTTTCAAAATCAAAATTTAGAATGCTGACTGAACATGAAAAGCTGGAAATACCACTCACTATAACCAAATATGAACCTTGCCACCTTGCTTCTTTGCCTGAAGTCTTAGCAAAGAAGGATTACACATACGGTACCTGCACCGCATTTCACTGAACAATAGCTGCCCCTCGATTAAATGCCCCCTTAAACAATTGCCCCCATTTGACGGGACTATTTCACTGGCCTTCTCATAATTGAATTCTTAGGTGAAATTCAACACGCCTGTCACTTTTCACATTCTTACCACCCTCTCCCCCCTTCCCTGCACACAAGAGACGTGAATTTTCCACATGGGGAACTCCTGTATAAAAAGGACAGGGGGGTGCTCATCGGAAATTTTGAAAAAAACCCCTAAGGGATACCAAGATCCTGTTTTGTGGGCGTGGCTTGAAATTCTTTTCACCTGTAAGACATACCAATTCTAAAACAACACATTATCTCTTGTCATATATTTTTCGGTTAAATACCCTAAAAGATACTGCAAAAGGCCCTGGTGTGAACCTTTTGAAGCTGAATACCCCAAGAGGTACCAAAACCGCTTATTTAACGCCTAAAAGGTATGACGAGGGCCCCCGCCTTTCTTAAATGGGAGTCGCCCTGGACCTATAAATTTTTTTATAAATTATGTATCCTGACCTCTAAAATTTTAATTTTAATAAAATTAAAGCTGAGATGTAAAAAAAAAGAGTACAGTGAAGGACTGCTAAAATTCAGGCTTCTAACATGAACCTATGAAGAATTGGATGCAATCTGTATTAATTTTAGTAGATATAATAAAGCTTACTGAGGTGGTTTTGTCCCTTGATTTTTGCTTTATTGCACTGTAACCAAGTGTTACTCATGTCAAGCTCAACAGGCATTTTACCATCATGTTTCACATTGTCAAACAAAATCTAAAAACAGAAAAAATATAATAATATTTATTTATTCAATATTGTTTCTGATTTTTGATCGCTTATGAGGTAATTTTCATAAGTGGGTACAATTGCAATATGAGCATGCAAGACGAAACAAATCCTGCACTGTGATTGATCAGGCTACCTGAGGGGGAAAGATGGTGCTATCTTGACCCCTAGGGGTTACCTGCTGTGTGACGCAAGAAAATAGTGTTCTTCTTCCATATGTAGTAAATGACAGGGTTCTCCCTTGTTTTCAGTACAACAGGTAAAAGAGCACTTTAAACCGGTAAAGCAATCATGGGTGAATCGCAGCCTTGTTTATTAGGTCTGCTCTGTACATTACATGG